ATTTGTTGATATGAGTGACTGTGAGACTGTGAGAGAGGTAAAGAGAGAGGGAGGGGGGGGGACTACCACAAAGAGAGAGAGAGAGAGAGAGAGAGAGAGAGAGAGAGAGAGAGAGAGAGAGAGAGAGGGGCTGAATGGGAAATTTGAAATATGGGTCAAATTGCGGTTGTGATCTATTTCACAGTTGGAATGTTTTTTCAAAATTTATTTAGAATTTTTCCTGTCTAGGACTACTCCAATTTTCTGGTTTTTTCACGCATTCTTCTGAGCGCAAAAACTCGCTGGATTTGGAGTACCTTTTCAGTTGGCCCACACATGGCTGAGTGGCAAAAAGGGAAAATGTGCCGAATTGGATCGACGATTATTTCGCAGTCTAAATGATTTTTTGAAAATGTTCTGATATTTTTCCTGGAAAGAACACGACCTCATCTATGGATAATCAAAATTTCAGATTTTTCTGTGGATTCCTCCGAGCACATAAAATCGCCGAAGTTGCCTCTTGCAAAACGCCTCTTTCGTTGCTCCTGAGTCCTGACCTCCCTGTTTTGAGAAGACGGGCCTCAACGCCTGGGCCTAAGGGCCCTTTTGCAGTTCACATGCCCTCCCTTCTTTTGGGGGTCCGCTTCCACCCGAGGAGCGGTCCTTCCTTTTTTCAAAAATCCCAGTTCTACCAAAGCTAGTTGTAGGTAGTCCGCAATTTCGCCAAGGACCGGTCCTCCAAATCCCCACTTTGCGTCCTGGTTGGCCGCCGCTGAAAATGCAACACCTTGACACAGACGCCGAAGCCCACTATACCGCAGCCTTAGGGTTGCGAATACATGCATCTTTCGAAATTGCCCCTGTCTTAGTTCACATTAATCCTCCACGCGAACTTTTAACAACCGCGCAGAGAAATCCAAGAAACAGTTATGAATTTCGGTCGGCGGCATTCAAATTTTCTTTCGTGCTGACGCGTGCACGACCATTTTTGAATTCTTGCATGTCGCGTAAGCTCGGTTCCCGCTCTACACGTGCGCGCCATCTTCCCGCCTTGTTGAGCGCTCCTCTTACCCTTTGGGGCGATCAACTGGTCGTCAGTTGGGATGGTCGGATCAATGCCGCGAACGAGAACTTACACGCGTGGCTTGGACGACCACCCCAATTGTACGAGGAATTCTGATCGCCCCACTTCCATCGATCCTTCTGGAACATCCTCTCTTCTTCTGTCCTGCTCATCTACACCCCTTGTTGTCCACACCACACGTTGGCACCCCACTGCCTTCCACACTATAAATTCTCGCAGCCCCTTCCTCTCCTCCTCTTTGATCTCGGCTGCAATGTTGCGAGAGCTATGAGCAAAGACCACGACGTCGAACATGCTCGACGTGTCCAAGTGACGGGTGGAGTGATGACATGAGGTGGGATTAGTTGTAGACTTGGGGTGAGGCAGTCGAAGGGACTAAGCGGTGGTGGAGATAGAACGTAGCCAACGACAGGGCCTTGTGGCTATGGTTGGTTGACGTTTGGGTTGGTTGGGGGCCGTGCCTGAGGGCGGCCGGCTCTGTGGAATTTTGAATGGTGAGGGACTCACTCTTTTCTCCATTGCTGCTTTGTCCAAGTGTTGGGTGTGTAGTAGACTAAGTGTGGATACTCAGTCGCATGCACGATGTTGGTTATGAGGGTTTATGGATGTTGAATACTTTGTTGTGCAAGATGTATCGATGTGGGATGATGTCGGGGGTGTAAGGCGCACAAATGCGCGACCTTGGGGAGTGTTGGGGTTTCAAATGTATGCCTTTATGCATGAGTGTGTTGATTTCTCCTCGTTTTCCCCGATCCTTACCGATTCCCTGCGCGACTCGTGAGCGTGGGGAACCGTCGCCGACTTTTCCCTTTCTCCCCTCTCGCGCGTGAGTGTCGTGTGTCGGTTGGTCCTGTAACCCACCAGGTGGATTGTCGGCAACCAGAGACAGCGGTTGCATGTGTCTACTCGCGTCGCCCACTCTCTTTGCTACCCGTACATAGCCGTTTTGCCCCGGTAACAATTATGTGGTCAACGACACTTTGTACCCGAACTTGCATTTTTGATTAAGTGGGAAGGACTCCGAAGGAGTGGGGCACGAGCCGCGAGGCTCATTGAGATTTGTATGGAGTCGAGATTTACTACGTCAAACGTGAGCACAGGTAACTGCTCGTGCTTAACCCTCTCGTCGATTCACCATAGCACCCTTCCGCCCTTCCCGATCGCAGACGAAGACAATGTGTACTACCGCGATGCGAATGTGCGGAGTGCGTTGTCACGGGCCGACCGGGTTCATTTATACAACTTGTCCAAGGCTTGCCACGTAGGGAGGAGTGGGTTTATTCTGATTGATCGGTTTTCCTCCCCGCGCTTGATCTTGCGTTACTTTGATTTGACAATGCTGGCTTGGTCGGCGACCCACGTCACGTGGCAGCCCTAGTTTAACTGTCACTGTTGTCGGCAGGGAGACTCGTGTTCCTGATGAAGGCTGGTGGTGAGGTACAAAGGTGCGGATCGGTTCTCGTAACTCTCCTGCAATGTGGGCGCCCAATCGACAAGCTTCCGAATTTGGGTTTCCCTAGCCGTGTGTAGTCCCCCGTATGTCGTACGGGAGGTCTGCGTACGGCCTGTGAGTACGGACGTACGAACGGGCGTACGATCGTACGGATGGGCCTCGTTCGAACGTACCTGGGCCCAATGGGGGGGGGKGACCGGGGGGGGTTAACCACCAGGGATGGTAGGGGGGGTCTTGAGGCGCCCTATAATTGTGCCGACGACAAAAGAGAAAAAAAAAAAACCGCTGATGGAGGTGAGCTTGTGAGGGGCTCGGGCAGTTGGGGGGAGGGGGATGGGCAAAATTGAATGAATCTACTGCTAGAACATGGAAATATACACTGCCACAATTGTTTTTGTTTGTGTGTGTGTGTGTGTGTGTGTGTGTGTGTGTGTGTGTGTGTGTGTGTGTGTGTGTG